CTCTATGCATAGGTTTTGCTGTATTTAACACCCTGATGATGTTCCCTAGCACATAATCAGAGCATGTCAGAAAGATTCCCATGTTTCTGAAAGGTTAACAATCTTTGCATGCTATCACTGCTCAAACACAAACACAACTCCAGGATCTACAGCACAGGCAGTGGGGAAAAGCTTTCCCCAAAAATGGCTATGCACATAGAGATCACATGAAAATAAAAGGCCCCCATTTTGGACCAGGAAGAAGCTGCTGACAGTTACTTATCAGTGTAAAAGTCTGATTGTAGTTAATTTGAATTAACAGTAAATAATGGTGTTAAAAAGAAAAGCTTGAAAATTAAGCTTATGGCAGCTATTTTGACATTTTGTTGAACCCACCTCCTGCAGAAGTTTTCATCTCATTTCACTTCAGCAGTCTATGTGGACTTCACAAAGACCAACTTCTACCTGTTTCCCAGAATCCACCATTTCTCTCTTGGTGAATACTGACTGCTGAGAACACTTAACCTTAAAACTCCAAACAATACTGGTAACATTCAAAATATTGACCCTAATCCTCTGAGACACTCAATAAACTGATTAAAGAGCATTCCCAAGAGACCCAGGAGTTCTTATATAAATCAGTCACTGACATCTCTCCATATGACACAAATTTTTTTCTCTGCTTTTTCCCTGTACATAGGAAAATACTCTATGGTTCCCTCATTTTCAGATTCTAAATTGCAATCCCTTCATTACCTGTGCTATCAGGCAACCCTCTTCTTGTTCCATTATATTCACAATAAAACATCCAAGTATCAGTTGAATTATTTGTTCCTGTGTCTGTCTTGTCTCATTAGAATAAATACACCACACAGATTTTGTGTTAAACAGTGTATTCATATTTTAAGACAACAAGGTAACAACTTATGCATAGGTTATAGCATTTTATCTTCAAATTTCAGTGAGTATTACAAATTGTGTTTTCAGTTACTGGTCAATGACTAGCTGCATGACCTTGGGCAAGTGACAACTTACCTGCCAGATAACCTTCAGAAAGTAAATTAACTGCTGAGTGCCCCTGTTTGTCATATCTCTGAAATGATCATAAGACAAATAAATTTCTGATTTGAGATCAAAAGACTATTGATAGTTCCTCCTGCGCCTTGGAAAATTCAGTTGTGAAACAGGTGTACTACTGTGAACTGGAGTTGATTCCTGTGAAAAACTTAAGACACCTTTGAAAATGAAGTGTTATCAGTATGGAATGTGACCAGGTGTCCAGGCAACGTACACACTGCATTTAGAGCCTCATGTTACCATTACCTTAATGGCTAAATCACAATGTTCGCTGGCAGTAGTGAGTTGCTCAATATGTCTGTCCACCTCTGCTACTGACAAACTGCAGCTGCTTTTCTTCCTCCCACAGACAACATTTTCCAGGCCTGTCAGCACTCTTTGTAGTTCAGAATTCAAGTCACTACAGTTATCTAAAAAGAAAACAAAACAAAACAGATATTGCAACAATCAGTGAACCAGTGAAAAACAACAAACTCTAACCCAGGAAATACCTGCTGCAGAACAGTTAGGACTGATACTGCTCAAGGAATGTCCTTGCAATCTGCTAGTTTTTTCCTCACCAACCTATGGGCTTAAGTACCACAACCAGACCACTTTAAATCACAAGTTACCTCCCACCTGACAAATAACACTCTACTGATCTGAAGCATCCATTCTTTCATCAAAAACATCTGTTTCCAAAGAACAACATTTTAAGACATGACAGGCTCACATACTATGCCATTTCTTTTTTGCTATTCCTTTTTGCCATTCAGGGCCTGTTATCCTGGTTTTATTACCCTCAAAGGTCTTACTTTGTGAATGCAACGTTCTTTCTGCCTACTACATTTATTGACATTATGACTTCACATTTTTCAGAGGAATTTTTCTGGTTGTACTTTGGCTCTGCCCGATTTTAAAAATCCTGGTGTTTACAGAAATGATCCCTACTAAGTATCTTAGTGCCTGTGTTTCATTTTTATAGCTATTTCTTTTCCAAATGCAACTGCAGAATATTCAGGGATCATAACAGTACACCTTGTTCTTCGCTACGTTCCGTATTACAATGGTATTAGCAGCATATGCAACAATCCTATTTTTATCACAAAATGTGGCAGACAATCACTTCCTTTTCTGTATTTAAGCAAAGCTCCTCTAGTGGCCTGGGCACTGCCACAGCATCCTGTGCTCCTGTGAAGACACTTAAGACATTATTATACATTATTTTTGTTTTTCATAGCTGTGGGATCTTATAGGGGACTAAAGTGGTGTGGCGTTGAACTTGTAACTAATCTAACAGACACGAGGCACCAGATTATTGCAGACTGCCTTGAAATCTCTCTATGCAAGAGAAGACTGAAAGCTGTTGGATGAAGGACTGAGATGATCAGAAAGTTAAAAACTATATACTTTTTACCACAAACCTACCACCACAGCCTGAAGGACATAAACACAAACCTATTGCTGACCAAAAGGAAGAGTTAAGAATGATGTCACAGTATTGTACGAAAAGTTCGAATGGACAGCACATACCAAACCATACTCTTGAAATCCTCCTCACTATTTCCTGACTACCAGCCACTCATCTCTTGTGGTAATACTGAAAATCCCATCATAATAACACTCACTTACGAGCATCATATACTATGCAGTATGCTTAACTGTAAAAGCCTCTATTTTGTTTGCTGGAATTTATTTGTTTCCGTAACATCTTCATTAACACAAATTTTGTCTGTATAAACAGCCTTCACTACCCTGTATGCTGACAGTAAGCAAGGTCATGCATATGTTTACCGGGTCATGATTTTTAATCCTTATCATACCTTTATCTAGGATTAAAAAATACATAAATATTTGTGTATACATACATATGGATTGGATTCATATATATACGGATGGAAAAAAAGAATTTATTTCTATGGGAATAAAATCCCAGAAAGACAGAGTTTATGTATAGCAGGAAAAACTGGAAAAAATGCGAGAATTCCTAGAGCTAACTTTCTTATTTTCTCCATTTCTATACTTAATTCTATTGCCATGTGTACTACTGATAGCAGAAGCTTAGATCTTGACTCCATACAATACTTCGTTAAGTATACTTTGAATTCTGCATGTCAGAAACTTTGTAATTACATTATTATTAATATTGTTCTATCAATGTTTCTAGAAACTAAAGACACTGAAAAAAAATGTGCTATGGCAGGTCTTGCATTTATAAACAAATACAGCTCTAGAGTTGGTATATTCATTTAATTTATTCACAGAAAATCTCTTTTAAATGGCTGCTTACAATATCAACATGGTTTCTACGCTATTAAACCCCACTTGAGAGCAATGAATACTAACTCCAAATCCAATCTACTCTCAGGTCCATTCCTCTAGAAGGCACCACACTGGAAATAACAGCACAAAGGTCTTAGTAATGAAGTGCACTTCTCAGTAATGAAGTTCCAAACAAGTGGAAACTGTTTTAATACAGTTTCTTATGTACGGAAGCAAATAGCGCATGTTGCGTTATACCCATCAAAAGCCTCGAGCAGAGTAACAGCTTAAGATTTGAGGATCACCTGTTCTGCACCGCGCCTAAAATATTCTATTTCGGTTATGTCCTGTAACACTGATCACGTACACTATCACCCACAGAAGCTCCCAGGCATCCAGATAGTTTATGTAGGGAAGAAAATGAATACCAGCTATTTGGTTCTAAATATGAATTAAGAGAAATAGTAATCTAAAGATAATTCTAGATAATTCAGTCATAGTGGAGATTACACCAGTCCTCTGATATACTACAGCTATAGTCCTCAGTAATTGAACCCAAACACTTAGTGAAGACTTAGTATCTGCTGATGCTTATATTGCAAACTTTAGTAATTATTCTATACTCTAAGGTTCTTCAAAGGATAAGTAATTGTACTTGGATGACAAAACAGATTAAATTCTGAAGAAAAGATGCTTGCCTTCTTAGTCCTTAACCAGAAAAAGATATTTACAGGCTGCCTAGAGGTGCTTCCTCCTTGAACTTACCTGAACAACTTGTGTCAGATTTAGCCCTGTCTAAATCAATTGCATAGAATCAGAATGGTTTGGGTTGGAAGAGACCATAAAGATGTCCAGTTCAAACCCCCCTGCACGGGCAGGGACACCTATCACTAGACAAGGTTGCTCAGAGCCCCACCTAACTTGGCCTCCAACACTTCCAGGGATGGGGTGCCCACAACTTCTCCGGACAATTTGTGCCGAAGTCTCACCACCTTCACAGCAAAAAATACCTTATCATACTTTTAAAAGTCTCTCTATTTCAAGAAGTGCAGACACCCTTCACAACTAGGCTATAAAACAACTGGATAGACAGTTCCAATCCCCACACCCTCTCCCCAAACTTTTACCCTCTCTGCAATTCTTTTCTAGTCTGATTACTTGACATGTAAGGTATGTGAAGAGATTTCCAGCCCTCTGTCCTCCACCCTCTTTCCCAAAAGTCATGAACTCTCCTGAAAAATCATTCCATTTTAGACTCCATAGCTATTCTACATCAAGGCTCAGAGGCTAATTAACATACAAATAAAAAATTCTAGAGTTCAGCATTTGTTGTGATTAACATAGCATAGATTCATTTGTTTCCTCACCAAACATTTGGATTTACACTTCAAAGGCTATGATATCTTTCTGCTGCAAGAAGGCATAATGTCTACTATGAAGCATTGACTCACCCATGTCTGCAGTGACCACAATGGACTGATTCTCTGGTACTGAAACAGAATTCTGGTCCATGCTGCGTGAGTCTTCATTAACCTCCTGCTGGCTTTGGCTGAGCTCTGACCGCAGCTCTGAATACTCATCTTCCTCCCTGGAGAGAGCAAAGACAGAAACAAACCCCTCTGAAATACATATTCTATGACACTTATTTCTGGTCTGCAAGCTGAGCCACAGAATACAGTCCACACAAGTGTTTTTTGTCTAGTCAGGAGGGAAGGGCTTATACCCTTTACAGCAAAGCAACTGTGCTGTGCCCCTAACACCCACTTGCTGCAGCCAGTGCCTGGTTTCCACTTCTTTATTCCCAGGTGCATTATTACTCCAGACCACTGTACATGGCAACAACGGGTGGAACTGATCACAAGCCAGGATGTGTGTGAGAAGGACATACACTGCTCTGCAATAACACCACAAAGGACAAATTAAGCTTTTGATCCTAAAGTAGATTAGCAATAACCAATTTTGGTCTCTTTCTCAGTTTGAGGATGCCATTGCCTTGCATGCAAAGCAAGCATGCACATGCCTGCCTAAGTCTATCACAATGCTCTTGGGGAGAGGTACATTTTCCATTTGTTCTCTTAAAAGGTAGAAAACAGGTGTGCATAGCACTGAACTACGGGAGTTAATGAAAAATAAGAAGTCTCAGTTGCCTAGGTTTTAACTTATTTGTCAAGCTGGTTCTTCTAAAATAACTGAGGACACAGAACACTTCAGCTTAAGCTAATAAGCTTAAAAAATTAGGGCTTTTCCCTCCTATCTCCACACAAAGAGTTCAAAGCACTGGGGAAGAAGATAAATAAATTAGTAACAGCTTTGCCTGAGAACATTTGTAAACATTTTTGCTTTCTATCCACTTGCTGATTGGACTCAAAGTTTTAGGTTTTTTTACTTCCACAGTAACTGTTTTGACATTAAAGTATATATTTTAAAAATGCAAAAAACACCAGCTTATCCAGGGTAGAGCCCTCTGACGAGTAAGCAAACAACCATCATTTTGTCATACACTAAATCAAGGGCAGAGATTAATTTTGCTGCAGATTCAGCAGAAAATTTTGAAAAGGAAACTGTCTGGATTTGGAAGTAGTAAGAAATAGCAAGGAGCTATGTGGGAAGGGCACCTTTAATGTTAAGTCTGCTGTCAATATGGTACATGGTGATGAGTGTTTCTTGCAGAAATATTGCAGGAGGTAGGTCTGAATTCACCATACAAAACAGCACAGAAGATGACCCATACATACAGGAAACAATGACAAGTACAGGCTGCTCTCAGTGTAGCAGGGGTGACAATTTATGAACCAGGTCAACTCCAAAAAGTAATTTCAGCTTGCTTGCCAAGCAGAGTTTCTGCATGTACCCAGATGTAATTTCTACAGGAACTATTATGCTCTTCTACCCCTTATATTTGCTTCAGTGCAAAGAAAGTATTATTTTATCAGAAGTACTTAGTGACTATTACTAAACAAAAATGCAGGTCAGCTGGTTAAAACTGAGTTTCAGAGCAAAGAAATGTCCTTAAGGTACCATGCAATATCTGTTTAAAGAAGTGTGAGAACTAAATAATGAACGGCAGGAATTAAAACTGTAATGAAGACATGTAAGAGCGGGTTAATGTTCCAAGAATTTTTTTATTATTAGCCAGCCACAGCAAAAGCCAGTAGTAATTAGCTTTAGACAAAAACAATTACCAAGCACTCTAATAACTGCATTTTTTTTTTATCTGAAGGAAATTAACTTTTTCTTTATGTAATTTTTAAAACCTGAATTACCTCTACAAATGGACAAGAGGATATATTGACTATAAAACAATGACACACAGTGTAACAATTTCTCATCACTCTTCTTTTGGCTCTTGTTGCACAGGCTTACGGTTTGAAATCCAACACAGCTTCATCTAGCTAACACTAGTACTGTTTTCATCAGTTTAAACACTCTCTGTATCTTGGGGCACTTTCTGAATGAACTAATGCTTCTAAGATCTGGCCAGAAAGATCAGACATCTATTTTTGGTAAACCAACAGCAGGGTCAATCAGTCTCCCCACTACCAGTCTCACAGGGTGTAGACTGAGGGCTAAAAACTCAAACAGGAATTTGATGGCAGTGAGGTATCACAATAAACAAATTCTGCCTTTAAAACTGATGCTGGCAGTAACAGAAGATACTGTTTGAGACCCCCCTTTCCCCAAAACAGGAGTAGAACCCTACAGTGACACTGAAAATGCAAGGGATGCTGATTAGACAAGGATCTCCTGCCACGCTACCTAGCAGGTGACTTCACAACTTCTTTGTTGCTACCATCATCTAGGGCCTGGCTGGAGAATGCATATGCTTTATCTCCTGATGGTTACCACTTGCTGAAATGTCATGGGGAGCTGAGAGATCAAGCTGTTCTAAATAGAGTGCAGCCTGGGATCAATGTTGGACTAAAAAAGCGTGTTTTACAGGTACATCTGCACTCACTGCTTTCCTCATGTTGGGATGCAACTAAGGATCACAACTGCTGCACAGACACTGGGAAAATAGTGAGTGAAATGGCACACTTTTCAGCATCATTGCACACCACTGACAAATCCTGCTAGGACACTAGCAAATGCACATTCTCTTCATGACTGCAAATAGTGCACAGCTTCACATTTTAGGTGCCAGCTGTTTTTCAACAATAATTTTATTTGAACAAGCATTTTTAAAGAATTCTAAGACTCACATACAGAAAATACAACAGGTGTATGTGCACTGCAACACAGAGATTGACTGCTCCCTATGTACACACACGAGGTCTCTGAAGTATTTCACTCATGAACAAATAGTGACACATTTGAGACAACATGGGAATTAATCACTGAAGGCAGGTGGGGCTGGGCATTGTATGCTGAAGCCAACACTAGGGCACCCACACTGCCATTCGAATTGAATCCAAGTAGCTTCCACCTAACACATATTTAGAAACTAGAATGAGACCTCCAGGTCATTGTGTAAGTATGACTAGAAATGCCATGGATTATTTCTTGTGACTCTGTCATCTTTTGACTATCCTCCTTCCTCATTAACTCCAACACAACCTACTTTCTGAATATATTTCAGACTTAAAGCTGCAAGTCTGAACAGATGGTTTTACAGCAATAGGTTACAAGATTCTTGACAGCTGTTTCATATAATCCTTAGCAGGCACCAACTGAGTGTATTTCTGTTCGGTATTGTTAAAGTTGCTTACTATTTTTAGAGTTGCACCCAAAGAGCCACTAATTTAGAACTAAGAGCAATTTCATCTTCTTTTTCCTTTTACTGAACCTCAATTTAATATCTAAGAAAGACTGTCAGTCATAGGCTGAAATTGTTTCTGCACAACTAAGTTACAGACAATTTTGCGAACCAAATACATGATTAAGAAAAAAAAGAGTTGATTTTGAACAAATCAATGGCAATCCTAAAAGCTTCTGAAGTCAGGAATGTTTGCCTTTAACATAGACTTAATTCCCTTTTAGTAAACAATAATGTAATTTGTAAATCCTTTCTGTGCTTCAGAGTTATATGGTGTATCAATTATGTTCAAGTATTTGCGACATGACTCCACAATTGGCAAGATTCAATGGTTGGTTTAGTTGTCTTCAAAGTTGTACACATTTGGGAGAGAAAATGGGAGTGGTACACACCTTGTCCAAGGACGGAGAAGCTTTGCAATGACAAAAAAAAAATTGCCTTCTACACACTGAAGCAGCAGAAACAGGACTAGCACTGCCACTAGCCTCCAGCTGACATGCTAACAAGAACCCCAAGCTATAGCAGCACTCAGAGAAGGCTGTTCATTCTAAAAGAAGATGACATAATGTGCTCTGCACAATCACTGTAGGTTCTTCTGCTCAAAAGTCTTGCAGAGTTTGACAGAAGCCTGTGACTCAAGTTTTACAACAAACAAGCAAAATACCAACCACCTCCTCCCAACCTCTTCCTAGCAATGTAGACAAGAAACAGCAACCCTGCCTTACAACGATATTTTCCCAAGAAAAAACAAGAGCCAAGGTTTATGTGTCCAGACTGAAAAAAAAAAAAAAAGCCTTCTCATCCTAGCGGATCATTTCTTTATTGTCTTTTTGTTCCAAATTGCTACCTTCTTGAGCTCGTGGGGAGTATAAGCTGCACCATCACACATTAAGAACTAGGGAAGTAAGAAGCACAGTGTGAATGTAGGGAACTCCTTATTAGCCCTTTTATGTGAAGCTGCACGCACTTCCCATCAAGCTTGGTTCTGATGCCTCACTTCCCTATCTGTGTCAGAGCTGACTTGTTTATCGACATAGTTAAACATTCACAGCATCCACCCCATTCCCATATTTTGTAATTGAACATCACTTGGCATTTAGCTTGCCTCAGGGACTCCTAACAATTTTTGTGGATTCTATGTAGTATTTTTATTAAATGTCATAGAGCTTTTCTGCTGTCCAAGAACATACAATCAATCAATGCAGCTTTCATGCTTCTCAGATTTTGCTTTTTAACCAGTCCTTTCAATTGTCAGAGCTTTACTAGAGATGATGGGCAGCCAGTGCCATGCTGAAACAAGACAACTTGAAACATGACGAATGGGAAGTTTGTCTGCAGAGAAATCAGGCATCAATGAAGAGTGAGTCACAGGGACTTTTTAAAAGAAGTACTACCAGTTTAGAAAATACTTACCTGAAACATCTCATAATGATCATTGCTAGTTATGATCATACCAGAGCTGTTATTATTTATCTTCTTCAGTAACATTAACATAATGTGATTCTATCACTGCTTTTATAGTGGTAGATATGCATGATGGTACTGTCCCTTTATTTGTGGTACACCAACCTTTTTTCTTTTCCTATATAAGTATTTTCAAGAAAGGCTAAGTGAGTAGATGTAACAACATTACCTTATGCTAGTAGAAACATTTACAAGGAAGAAAAAAATGAAACAGTTACCAAAAATTTGCAGCTAATAGGCAAGGAAAACTAAAAATTCACTGCAGGGGTAGAGCTACCTGCAAAAGTCTCAAACCTAACTTGATGTTCTCTAAAAAATCCAGATTCTAATAGCTCAGTTTGATTCTCACAAGCCAAACTTTAAGAAAATCCTTCCTCGTTCGAGTCCAGCTTTATCTAAGCCGGGAATAATGGGTAAAAGTGGGGAAAAGTAAGTGTTTTCCTGGAAAGTTTATTTTAATACAGTAATAAGTAATGACATAGTGTAATACCCCAAGCTTTGCTGCTCCAAGGACAAGCAACAACACCATTTGTACTGTTGCATATTGTCACAAATACCAGTACAAACAGATTAAAAACGTACTGAAACTCATTTGAGCCATATTTCTCACTGGAAGTGATTTGGTTTAGGTGATCTATAGGATGGTACAAAATCAAGTTAAAAAGCAGAAATGCAGGCTGGATGGCTACATCTTCCTTTATCCACCACTGCAACCAATTATCTGGTACCCTGGCATGTATGTTACACTAAAAGAATATTTAGATAGCACAGTGTAGTTCTTTGCAGTGCTCGTTAGGCTTTGCAAAGTGTTACTTTGAGATAATGTAGCACTTTTGAACCTCAGGATGATACTCTGCAGAATACATATCTTAATTACGGGCAGCTGCTCACTACCAGGCATAACATGCCTAAGTACTTTAAAGTCATCATCAAATTATATCTGGAGTATAATTCACACCATGTTTTACACTCTTCTTGCCTTGACCCAGAATTTCCAGGAAGTTGCTGTACCTTATTATTGTTCCCTGTAGCCGATTAATTTTCTTATTTAATTCAGCAATGATACTGTGCAGCTCTGTGATTTGTTCCTCATAGCGTAGTGTTGTTCTCTCCTGCACATCTTCATGCTCTCTCATTAGGTGGGATTGTTCACTCTAAAGCAGAGAAGTAAGGAACAGAAAAGGTCTTATGAATAATTGCACAGAGATCAGATAAAACGAAAAAGTGCACGAGTAATGGTTTTCAAAGTAACACTGCCTTAGCAAAAGAAAAGGACAGATGCAAAATACTGACAGGTACACAAAGGTATGCAATTACAAGATTTTAGGAGCTGGAAGACTACACAGTGTACTTTTTTTTTTTTTTTTTTTTCCCTAAGGGGGAAAAGTTGCCTTTCCAACAAAAGTATAAAGGTTTTTTTTTTTTTTTTTTTTTTTTTTCCCTAAGGGGGAAAAGTTGCCTTTCCAACTTGAACAAAAAACACCATTTGCAGCTCAAAATAGCTATAAATAAGATCTCATCTTTGGATCCATAAGGTTCATGATGCATCATGAATCTTCAAGGATCTTACCAATGTGGTCTGAATTTGAACAAGTCCTAAGGTAGAAAACACATTATTATAAAGAAAAGTAATCACACTTCAAAGTTATGACTTCTCCTCTAGTATGAGTATCTGTTTTTATTAGTTAATATAGCATGTTTTTATTATTTGAATCTTCTACAATAAAATGGTTATTATTTGTACAATTAAAAGGCTACACTGGCTGCTTGTTTTTTATACATATCACAAAGTCTTGCTTTTCCTTTCCAACAGAACTTTAAATACAGCCTCTCTGGCTTAATCTTCGTGCCAGCAAGCATTCTACTTCAATTACAGCAAACAATTTACAATCCAACAGTTCATGCAGATTGAAGTTATGCTTAGTAGTGGCTGGAAAGAGCGAGATTTAACTTTTTGCTTCTGACCCCGTGCAGTAAACAGTGAAGCCTCTATGTGCCCAAGACTGTCAATAAAAGATTATGCAAGGTAAAATCCTGGTAGCATTCTAAAGGCTACAATTTACTGTAACGCATGAGGTCCTCCAACATCTATATTTGGTGGTTTTTTTTCAATTCAAGACAACATTCTATGCAGAGGGAACTCAGCCCCTTATATCATAAATAATAAAATTATACCCAAACAAGCACGGATACCAGAGTTTTCACAGCTTGCCCTCACATTTTTTGGCAACTAACACTCAAAACTTGAGAACACCACCTACATAAAAGACTGACTGAAAAGGAAAACTTACACTGAGCTTCAGTAACGTTTTCCTTTCAAATAACATTTATTTTAATATTTTTAAGTTCCAGGAATATGCACTTTGCAGTGTAACCGAGACATTAGTCCATCCTTCCACGGACTACAACAAAACTGTTTCTTACAACAGCTGGAGTCAAAAGCACTTTCACCTACACTAACACAAACAGACCATACCTTTACACTGAAGAGAAGAGCAAATAGTCATTATTTTAGGACAATAACAATGTTCACTTGGCTTTTAAGACTGACGTGGTTCTACATGTATACCATGACTAATGTAGGATCACTCCACAACTTAATTCTCATGTTTCCGTATCTTTAGATCATAGCTGGCTCAAGAATGACCACAATTTTCAAAATGAAGAAATAACACAGAAAAAATGTTTTTTAAAAGCCTTAGAACAGATTTAAATGAAATAAAGACTTACTTATTGTGCCTTTCTGTCCTTGTTTGAGCCAGAATGAAGCCAATTTTCTTTTCTCTTTCAGAAAACTCTTTCCTAGCAGCAAGTTTTCCAGCTAGTGAACTGATAACACTGTAATGTTCATATTACTGTTGAGACACCCATGTCACTTTGCTCTATTTGTTGAACCTGCAGCCTCAGATGCTAAGGCAGCAGGGGAGTTTTATCTGCAGCCCTCCTGTAGAGAGGAGTGGACTAGACAGACAGTAAAATTGATTGAAGTCTTCCATTCCATTTATCTACATAAGCTTGGTATAAGATCAGGGACTAGGGCAGTCAATCCCTTCCTGCTTCTTCTCCCCTTCTCTTCCGTCCATGGCTGGTGTCCAGGGAGGACTCCATCCATCCATCACCCTTGATCCCCAGGCCTGTGCATTCCTGACCCTCCTCACTCTCCCCTCAGCTCCTGTCTGCTTTGCTGCTTTCTCCAGCAGCTCTGGGACATTTCAGAACTGCTCCCAGCTCAGGAGATGCTGTGGAAGCTACTGGGGGTAAGGGGAGGCAAGAGGCTTTTGCACATTCCTGAACACATTTGTATATATTTGGCCATATTTTCTTTTATCATCAGTATTTAATTACAGCTGTGTAGTTTAGTCTTCAATCTAGAAAGTCTCTCTCTTCAATTCTCTCTTTCCTTCCCTACCTGGATGGGAGAGAGAGGAGATCAAGAGCATTGTTGTCTCTGGTTTAATTGCCAATCCTGAGTCAAACCGTGACAATTTCTCAAGCTAAATTTGTTCTGACACACATTAATACCCACAAACACTACCTAAACATTATCCAGATCAATTATGTGCACTGTTTTGCTTTTTTTCTTTTAAACAAAAGGGATGTTTCAGATGGAGTGCATAATTACTATTTTCAGACAATAAATAAAAACACTGACAACAATTTCTTGTCTTTCTAAGCTGTGCACTGAAAAGCAAAATTTGTGTACCTTGACTGAATATATATGAGACTTTTGCTAACGGACCTCAGCCACACTGCCAGATATGCTCTGTCCTTTCTCCAGCCATTTCTCATTGACCATTTTTCAGGATAACCCACATTTCGTGATAGACATGTTTTGTGAATAACAAGCAGTCTGGCAATATAAGACAACAGCTTCACATCAGAGTTTTTAAAAGGGCTCTGGGGTTATCTTGGGCAAAAGTAACTGTAAAAGGCAGAAAGGAAACCTCTCTGAAAGACAAGACATGATACTAAAAGGCCTGCTGTGCCTTGCAGGGGGGGTTACAGTTATGTGTCCTAAGTTCTGGTCAGCCACCTCAACTAAAAATGGCAAGAGTATTTAAAAAAAAAAAAAAAAAGTAATATAATTCAGTATGAATCCCAAAATGCAGCACGGGAAAATTCCTCTGGTTATACAGGACTGGTCCTCATTATGGCACACTCATCTCAAAGCTTAAAAGGCAAAAGAAACAAATGCACGCTTTCTGAGATACTAAACCTGTTCATCACTCTTCAGTGTCTGTATCCCCTGAGTCTCAGAACAATCATCTGCCACCAGTTCCTATTTATTTCCAAGTTGTACACATTCAGTTCTTGCAATATTGCTTTTTTAAGATTACCTTACACTCCTTTCCTCATCCCTCTTCCAGCCTCATAGTTCTGATTTAAACCATTAAGAGCTCTAATTCTCTGAGAAAGCAAACACTGGGATAATCCACTGAGAGGCTGCAAAAGATGAGCAATTGGTGAGAAGTTTCCAGCACAGTTCTCAGTGGAAATGACCCTTGGCTGGCTTTTGGTACAAACCAAAAAGGTTATTTCAATTATAGTATAAATTAACAATTACTGGAAACACCTTTGTCTGACCCCTTGATGCTGGGAAACAACAAAAGCAAGAAGAATATGGGGGAGAAGGATGATAAGAGAAAATATTTTACCCCAAGGATATTGTCTCAACACAGGATTCCACTGCCTATTAATGTATGCAAATTCCTAGAGCAAGAAGCTCTACTAGTGCAAACCTTTATGCTCCATTTGCAGTGTTCAATCAGACGACAGGAAAAAACCCACCAGCAGCAGCACTCAGGAGGAGATTCCCCTGTGCCTCAGGCCCTACAGAGACAAACCCCGGCTATGGCATTCTTCACCAAGAGTACAAGTCATCACCTGAGTGAGCTACAATGCTAAACCTGTCTAACAGGCTCACAGGAGTAAAAAACCACTTTGCTCAACTAAGACAGTATTTTAATTTGAGAGGAGTGGCAGACTTTGAAGCAGCAATCCACTAATCTAATTTTAAGTATAAATACAAGTCCATCGTGCCAAAGACTCAATCATAAAAAATGCATGGTCAGAATTATTTGGCAGCATATTCTGTGTATTCTTAACATGGACTAATCTGTGTGAGAGAAGGACATCACACAACTGAACAAGTAATTTCAACATTCATCTAAACACCATGCATTTCTATTTTAAGTTATTTTGTTAAATGAGAAACTAAAGCCTTCCTGTGAATTTCACATGTTCTTATGTGCCTACAGAGTGTTGGTTTCACTCTTACACTGAAATTCTGTTCTCTCTCTCTGTCCCTCCATATATTCTGAATAACCAAAGGAATGGTAAAGAATTATTACTGCAGACTTACTGCTGTGTGATACAGGATCCAGAATGATGCAGCAGTCTTTGTTACCCTGTGACTACAACTATTATGAAATTCCAAAATTAGAAGGACAAAGCAGTAAGAATGAGAGAGCAGGACTGCCCTGTGAAAAAAAGATGAAATTATAAAATGTAATAAGTAAAATGTCTATTCTTGTTGTATTTGCTGAAATTTTTAATGTTATTAAATCTTATGTTTTATCATAAAACTGCAAACCTCACAGTCACAGGATGTAGGACATGTCAAGAATGTAGATGGATTAGAAAGAAGATTAGATAAACTCATGGAGAATAGGACCATAGAGGACTATTAAATGTGATGCAGACTTCTGCTCACAGTTGTTGGCAGAAAGATGGGGGAGTATGAAGGAGGATAAGTCTCTGTATGGATTTCTTATGCTCTCCATTCCGACTCCTGTTATTTATCATTATCAAAGCCAGGATACTGTGCCAGACAGTGCTAGTAAAAAGCACTACTTTTCTTCTCATGACCAAAGAAAGATTTTTTGGAAGAAGACTTCAGCAGTGTTTGACCGGTGTTTTACAACAAATTTCATTCAAGAGATTACTTGAATGCCAAACTGCATTCTGATACAAAGACAGAGCCAAGGAGATCTGCTGTCCTACTGAAATAGTAGAGGGATGTAGGCAAATACTATAGTAGGTCTCTATAGACTGCATTTTTGGAAATAAGCATGATATAACCAGTAATCAATGACATCCCTTAACAAAATTGTAAGCAGGGCTATCCAACTATCTTTCTTCACAATTTGTCATCTATGGACTTGAATTGTGGTTCCCCAAATCCACTTCCCTCTGCAAATCACTAATCTTTTCTTCCAAAGCCTCTCACATGCCTCATGAAAGGATGAGAAAGGTATTACCAAATGTATGTTAAAAGCTGTTTGTTCCAGAGAGGACTTCCTACGCCAGCTGAAATGAAACATGCACTGCCTTTGTAAGTACAGTCCAGATGCAGAATAGAGATTTAATGCTGACACACTAGCATCTGAATATGGTTATGCAGAACCTCTAACACCTCTTACTTAATTTATGCCTTCCGAACCTTTGATTCATATCAGTGAGGAAGAAATCCCTTAGACAGAGGTTGTTGTAGAAAAAACTATACAATATGATACATGATGCAATTTTGATGAAAATCTGTGTTGTGGGAGAAAATGTTCAAAAAATTATGGTAAATGGAGCATTTACTTGGAAGTCATGCAGTTAGGAAAAGAAGAAAAGGTAAAGCATTTTCACTACAGTGTGTCTCATTGTTTAAATATAGCGAACATCTTGAATAGATGAGTTGTGCTTATTTAATGGCCTTTTCCTTAAGAATGACTTTATTTCATTTAATAATCACTAACGTAAATGTCTATCTACTTGAGACCTTTTAAAAATGTGAAAAGAATGAAATAATTAAAACTTTATAGAAATTAATTTAAAAGCTTGGTTGTTTTATTTTGTTTTGGTTGTGGTTTTTTTGGGGGTTCTTTGTTTTTTAAAGCTTGCATGCTTTCAGATATTTTGTTCTTGTGTTATTCACAGTTCAGGTAGCAGTTGTGACTACACTTCTGTTCACAAGCACACAACCAAAGATCATGGGCATTACCAGATCATCAGAAATTAAAAACTGAGCACTACACACAACCCATCAAACCATCCTATGCTAACAAAACACATATGAATTGGGATTAAGGAGTGATTCCAGTAATCATCAGTAGTGACTCATTACTGCATGGAACACCTATAAGGCTGCGAGATTTTATTTTTATATATACATATATATATATATACACACACACGTATATATACATAAAAACCTGGAAACACAACTAAAACACTAACAAAACCCTGTGGTTAGCACAAGACCTTGCAGAGTTATAAATAACAATGAAATCAGTGTTGTCATGCAGAATGATGTGGATCGTTTGGACACACAGGATCCATCTGACTGTTCAATGACTGTCAAATGCAGCCTCATTATTGCAGTAGAAATTAGTAAAAGTTATCTGGATTACAGCTGATGATTGATGTTAATTCTCAGCATGGCTTTGCCTCACCCATCCAGGGGAATAAAAACACTACAATGTTTCATATTTCTGGATATTGCATTGATGGTCTGCAATAGGAGTATCACTGATAAGCCCAAAAGACTTAAAGGCAGCTGTAAAGAAAAAGGAAAGCTGACAAAGGCCTCGATTTTAAATAACTCACAGATAGAAGCCCTTACCAAAATGCACTTAAGACTCTTAAATTCACAAAATGGCAGAGTGGCTGAGGCTGACAAGGACCTCTGGAGGTCATTCATCCAACCCTTTCCCCAACTCAAGGAGGGTTAGGTAGCTTGAGTAATTGCTTTGAGCAACCTGGTCTATTGGGAGGCGTTCCTGCCCAAGCAGGGGGGTTGGATCTAGATCATCTTTAAGGTCCCTTCCAATTCCAACCACTTCGTGATTCTATGATTTATCTTAATCTGAAAAGAGTATTTTTAAATACTGTGAAAGCATTAGAGTTCACACTCTACTCTCATTTTATCACTTGGCTTTCCACTGACTGGTGTCCACAAGAGATACACACAAACTGGCTTACTAGAAGATAGACTGAGATCACAAATCACTTCCCATGTACCAGCAAAGCACTGCCAGTTGTCAATAGCTTTTGATGAGTGTTAATTTGTGTTTGAATCTGACCCAAGCGTGGAAGGCTCTGCAATCATTTACCTAATCCACTAAGAACATACCGCAGTTTTTATGTTCAAAGAAGTCTCTGTTTATGTTGGCTTCAAAACCAAACAAATCTAATTATTTCTTGGTATTTTTAGAAGAATGTCATCAGCACATGAAACTTTAGCAACTATGTCTCTTGCGGTCTTGAAATTCTTTTCGCTTGTGACATTATTCAGGTATTTTACCCTCTCCCCATATACCGTATTTCTCTTCAAAGAACAAGGACAACATGAAATGAAGTACCATCTTCAGAGTCTTGAACTATTGCTCACCTGGGCTTTTGCCAATTTCTTTTCCAACAGGTCACGCTCCCTTTCTGTTTGTTGTAGACGTTTATTAAGCTCCACTATGTCTCCCTTTAGTGATGCCAGGGCTGCTAAATGAAGCTATAAGACAAAAGAAAAGATACATATTAAGCATTAAACAAGCTACGTAGTAGCATCTGAAAGAAGATATAGCACTATAGAATAGCTACAATAGCTGTGGATTTTTACAGTATTTAACAGGACCTTCAATATAACAAAATTCTAAAAGAAATCCACATGCTGCTGTATACTTTTCACATATAATTCTCCTCAGAAAGCATATTATAAGAATAAAGAAAATCAAGTGTAATACAGATGGAAATGTGTAGATTAGTTGTAACATTAGCTTAACAGGAAGTAGTTTGAGTCTTGTGTTATAAAATCTTACATTAAACATTAGCTCAGATTTGTACTATATAAGGTTTATCATGTTTTGATGTCTTTAAACACACAGACGTTATTGGTTTGGTGAAGGGAATAATTCCATGCACAGGATAGGTTTTATTTTGCAACTAAAGCTTACTTCACTTTGAGTTACTGCTCTGTAGTTGTTGTTCTCTTCAGTCCCACGTCACTAAGTTTCAGTGATTGCAATCTACTGAAGCCACACATGAAGAGTCTGAACAGTTTTTCTTTCTGCACTAGATCCTTTTGATAAAAGATAGATTCTACATTTAACTGATAGTATGTGGAAATAATAGCAGACTAGGATAGCTAACATAATCTAGCTAACATAACATTAGCTACAAAAATTAGAAATCAAGAATAATTCTTAAAAGAATGCTATGTTTTTAACTCATTTACACCCTCTTCCTGTTCTTAAATATCCCATTCACTGTTACACTGAAGGCATCAGCTAGAATTCAACACTCAGTATTGACAAGTACAGCCACAAGGTCCAGGAGGAAAACTAGCCACTAATACTGAAGTTTTCCTTTGTAGTAGTAAAGAAACAACTCAGAAGTGACCTTTCACACTAGATCAAGTCACACAGCAAACACTACCCTACTGCCAGGATTCAGACTGAAACACAAACCCAAGTCCTCCAGCATTTTTCAGTCCTTCACTTTATTGGACAGGTCACTGTTAAGTTACTTTTCTTGTTCCATTTCCAGTCAATCTGCTAGTGAATCCTATCTTGATCGAAATTTTACCTCTACGACACTGCCAGCCAGCAAAATCATAGATGGTTTCGTGTTCTGATGTGTGAAAGTAGCTGTATGACAGCAGAAAGACAGCATTTAGCAACAGCTCGTTCACCTACAGTATTCCCACTCCTACATAAAAGGCCACCTCTGGCTCCAAGACAGAAGACATTCCAGGATGTCAATTCTGCAATTTTAGTTGTAGTGTAACAAGTTATGCTAGAAGCTCTGGACATCCTGATTTTTGAGTTCAGTTGAAAGCGTTTTCATGTCAGCTACAAAAATGTCTTACACGTGTGCAGTTTCAATTCAGTACAAAAATACACAATTCTGCACTGCAATAGGTTTAAGATTCTCGAGGCAGCCTCATTTTTCAATAGAAAAAACAGTAATCCGGGCCTGTTACAGCCATCTGCGACATAGCTTCTTTCAAGTACATATGCTGAAATCTCTTACTAAATCCAGAAGCATCCTGAGTACCTTTAAGTATTCTTGGCCTTCAGGAGAAGGCCTTTCTTCCTATCTTAAGAAACTATGCACTGGTTTTACAATGTGGAGAAACAAGAACCAGCATCATTGTAGCTATCTGTTCATTACTGACTTAAGATTTTCATGAAAGCTGTTGAACTTAAAAGCCAAGTTTCACCTTATTCCCTTAATAGAGTGGAAGTGTGGCAACAAAGCTCACCAGTTAGATCCCTCACCACACCTTTCAAATAATACATGAAAAAATGGCTACAATTCTCTAAATTTAATAAAATTATGCTACATGGTCAAGTAAGTATCATTCCCTTTCATACACTATAATTAAATGATCACCAGCTGTGGTTTTAATTAAATATCAGACCAATAAGGTCCATACACATAGCGCTATAATATAAACAGACACCATTAATTTAAAAATCTCAATGAAAAACAACTTGTTCTAAGGAACTAAGGAGATGGGACTTCCTATGGATTTGTCTTTCTCCTCTTCCCACAGCACAGTCACCTCAGCTATTCTTCATGTCCTCTAGCACACCCAAAGCTCAGTATGAAACAGCATGAATTGTGTCTAGTTTTACAGGAACACTTGTGCTTGGCCTGGCTGCTCCTGGAAAACAGAGGTATCCAATACAAGAGTAACATCAGCCTCCCCATTCCATACAGGGTTTCTCTTCTCCAAACAAGCAAAGGATTTCTTTATTAATTACAAGGACATTTTATTGCATCATTTACTATAGAAAATTATATTTTCCTTTACTAAATTGGACTCATCCAGTTTCCAAGCACTAATGAAACAATAATAAAACCTTGATGTTACTGAAATGGTAGACTAGACAACAGGAAGCTATCATACATGGAGGAAGGCTGTATGGGATACTCTCCACTTCCGTGCATGTACCCAGTGCACACGGCAGTAAGGCATATGCAAGTGGTGCCTCCAGGTACTTCTGAAATACATAATATGACTAACACATCTAGTGTAGCCGTGTATTCTTGGCAGAGTCAAACTTTCCTCCCCATTTCCTTAAAAAAGGTGGTACAAAGTATTGCTACATCTTCCCTTGAGGAGTGAGTGTTCCCAGGGGCCATGCCCCAGTATGTTTGTATAGTACACAGGGTGTGGGAACTGGAACACTGATACTTGGATATTGCTGTAATGCAAACAAGGAAACACCTGAGCAAAGAGCTACAGTCACCCCCAAAAAATTTATAATTCAAATCTAATAATCCAAACTATTAAAGTTGGAAAGATTAAATTTAAAAATTGGCTGTTAGTCAGTCACGACTGTAACTGCAGGATTGAATCACTATGGGATATGACAACTGAGAAAGGAGAATGGACGTAGCCATACGGCAACCTGTTTTTCTTCTCCCCTCAGCAAACAGTGATAACACAGTGATAAACAAGGCAGAAGTACTACCACTAACATTTGTAACAGACATTTATAGTTCAAGGTGTGCTCCCTCTTTATGGCATAAGGTTAGAAAATACACAAAAAACTCAGTAGTTTGTGAAAACACAGACACCACAAAGATTTCTGTTTGTGCAACATACAGGTCTTTACCTTTAACCAAGAGCTCCCAGAGAGAACTACTTCACACAGAGAAAACAGTTCCTTGACAAAGCCAGTTTTGTTCATAAACTTTGTACTGATACAAGACAGCTAGTATTGAATTCCATGAAGAAAAAAGCTCCTATGTGATGTTGATGGAGCTAAACCACCCAAAGGGATCAGACAAGAAAACCAGCTTGCTTCTTCACCATTATCCAAGGAAATAATAATTATTTCAGAAAATAAATTAGATACATTTTAAGAAAAAACGCATCACCTATTTTAACTTAGGAGCTACAATTTCTATTAAGTTTTTTGCCAAAACAACAGCAGGTTGCTTACTGATACATATACAAAGCACATTTTATAGCCAATACTACCCTTCCAGGTTTTTATGTATTAAATAGTTAACAATTATAATTTACTACTATATATTATTATTATTAATAGAAAATACTGTGCATAGCATGTGATCTTTAAAATGCAAACCAGTGTACAGCTAAGTTTCAAAAGATACAATAACTGAAATGAAACCAAAATGGCACCACAAGCTCAGAAAAGCAAGCTCCTGACCTATGTCACGGCCTCCTTTGTGACTAGTGTCTCTTCCCCATCTTATGTGTTTCTACAGAAAAACTCATACAGTACTGTAGACATGATTTAACAGGGTATGTTTTGCCCAGTGCTTTAAACAGTGCTTCTTGCACTGGGTTTTGTGAAATAGTCTATGTAGGTACAAATAAAATCAGTCAAGTTTCTCAAGAATTTTATGGAGAAAAGAATACAAAAGCAGATGGAATAGTAAAATTAACTGCATGCCAAAGAAGCAGGAAGCTACTGACATGTCCATACTACATATTGCTGGAAGGCCTCTGATGCCATGAACAGAACAAGAAGAAATATTATTATTATTAATAGAAAATACTGTGCATTGCATGTGATCTTTAAAATGCAAACCAGTGTACAGCTAAGTTTCAAAAGATACAATAACTGAAATGAAACCAAAATGGCACCACAAGCTCAGAAAAGCAAGCTCCTGACCTATGTCACGGCCTCCTTTGTGACTAGTGTCTCTTCCCCATCTTATGTGTTTCTACAGAAAAACTCATACAGTACTGTAGACATGATTTAACAGGGTATGTTTTGCCCAGTGCTTTAAACAGTGCTTCTTGCACTGGGTTTTGTGAAATAGTCTATGTAGGTACAAATAAAATCAGTCAAGTTTCTCAAGAATTTTATGGAGAAAAGAATACAAAAGCAGATGGAATAGTAAAATTAACTGCATGCCAAAGAAGCAGGAAGCTACTGACATGTCCATACTACATATTGCTGGAAGGCCTCTGATGCCATGAACAGAACAAGAAGAATATGGAAAGGACAATGTAGGAAGGTGCTGATAAAATGACAGGTTAAGGCTAACGATCTGAAAAGCATAAGAATTACTCCCATAGCCAGCATTTTCCCCTGCAATTGTGACCACCACTAAGTTTGATCAACATTTGAATTTTCCCTCCCTCTACTTGAACCAGACTAATTAAACTATACTGCAAAACTGGTTGTACTCACTGCATGCTTGCTATTTTCAACACAGAAAGCACAATAAAGACCTCAGCCCATCCTTCTCTGTGAAACTGAAGAGCTAATCTTATATTTCTCCTCTTGTTTTCTGTCTTCCTTGGCTGTAGTACTGCTGCACATCAACTTGGGAACAGGTGTTCAGAAGTGTAACCTCTCACATAACAAGTGCCCTGGTTTGAGCCAGGATAAAGCTACTTTTCCTTTTACTGATTTTTTTTTCCTTCAGTAACCTGGGACTGATAACACCAGAATGATCTAGATGGACCGCAAAACTGGCCACAGATACTTCATTCCATGTATCTACGTAAGCTCAGAGGAA